TTTGATGTTAATGGATTAAATTTTCGTCGTAAAAAAAATAATTGTTATTGTAACATGATAACCATGTTGTTTATATATAGTGATCATTTTGAATATATGTTGTTACTATGTTGTTAAACTATAAATATTAGATTATTAAGTTGTGCATATGTTTAATTGTTTTTTTTATTAAATTAAACTGGATGCAAGCACTAAAGACGAAAATAACGTTACAAATTGAAGCAGAAACTTAAAACAAATCATGTCATAAATCAAATCATTGTATAATTTTTTTTTTTTTGTCGCGTAAATATATTTTGAAATGTAATCTTGTTTTATAAATTTATTCAAAAAAAATACGCCAATTTTTAACCAAAAAATTAGTCGGCTCTGCTAAAAACAGCTTTAAATAATTAAGAAGACAGGGTCTAAACAGAAAATATAGGGACTTCAAATGGCATTTCCCGATGAAAATCCATAACAATCCTATGTGCGACCTAATTAGTTAACAAAGACAAAATCGCGATGGTACGGTGTAATAATGGCAAATCGTTTTTCTGCAAGTTCTTGTCCTGCTCTGGCTATCCACGGCAAGTCCATGAAAAATTCATAGAGCAAAACGGAGCTTCACCAACGTCGCTGGCAGTTGGTCCAGCGCGGCAGCCTACACAGTACAAGTGCGGGGTCATTATATCCCTGCTGTCTGGGTATTTATATATATATATATATATATATATATATATATATATATATATATATATATATATATATATATATATATATATATATATATATATATATATATATATATATATATATATATATATATATATATATATATATATATATATATATATATATATATATATACTTGCACACACTAAAAAGGTATAATTTTCAACTTTTAAATTATAATAAAAACAATTATTTGCCATACAATTTTCTACCTTAAAAGGTAGAAAATTATAGCTTACTAAGGCTATATCACATATCTTACCTAAAGAAGATAAAAAGACAGCAAAAATTCCAGTTTTCAAGACCGGCGAACATATTAATATGAATAACTATCGCCCTATTTTAATTCTTCCATTTTTCTTTATTATTGAAAGGATAATGTATAACTGAATCTATACATACCTTATTTACCTTATTGACAATAAATTGCTTTATGAAAATCAATTTGGGTTCAAAAGAAACAATCCAACTGAGCACGCTATTCTCTAACTTACACGCAACATATCCGAATCTTTTAAAAACGGTCAATTTACATAAAGAGTCTTTATAGACCTGTCTAAGGCTTTTAACACTGTTGATCACGAGATCTTGTTAAAAAAACTAATATCTTATGGTATAATAGATAAAACATTAAACTGGTTCAAAAGCTATTTAACTAATCGCAAACAATATGTTTACAATGAAAACTCTGACTCTCAGATTTTAATCAATATTACATGTGGTGTTCCGCAAAGATCCATACTTGGACCACTTCTCTTTTTAATATTTACTAATGATCTTAATAAAACCTCAAACTTAACATAAATAATCTTTGCTTATGACACAAACTTGCTTTTATCTCATGAAAATACAAATATACTTTTCAATAATATGACAAACGAGCTTAAAAAAGTTTTTTATTGGTTTAAAATAAAATCTCTAAACATTGAAAAAACTAAATGGACACTTTTTCATCCACGCTAAAAAAAAATAAGATAACTGTAATGCCTGACCTTTTTATTGACAATATCTTTATTAAAAGAGAAAAAGTTGTAAAGTTTTTAAGAGTGTATATTGATGAAAATCTATCTTGGAAAAATCATATTGACAGTACCTCCTCAAAAGTTGCAAAATCTATTGGCATTATATATAAAGCTAGAGACATATTAAACAAACGGCAACTAACGCAGCTATACTATTCCTTTATTAATTTCCCCATCGATTATGCAAATACAGTATAGGGTAGCAATAATAAAACAAAACTTAAATATCTTTATAATCATCAGAAACACGCAGCTCGCGCAACAAATTTTAAAAACCGTTTTACGCCCTCTAAGCCACTTCTGCAGGAAATGAAAGTATTTACTAACTGTACGTATATAACATTTTATGCTTTATGTTTGAATGTAAACAAAACTTATCTCCTTGTGTATTTAAAAATCTTTGTGTAACAAAACCCAAAAATAAGTATGATTTATGTACTCATAATTATCTTAATGCCCCTTTTTGTCGGAATAAGTATACTCAATTTTGTATTTCTTATCGTGGTCCATACCTATGGAACAAAATAGTTATACCTAATATAGATTTTTCTATTCATTTGATTTATAATTATTTTAAACAAAAATTAAAAGAAATAATTTTTTCTCTAGAAAACATCTTTATTTACTTTTAACGATTAAATATTTTTCAGTTTTATTTTAATTTTTTTAATTTTACTGTATTCCATATAACTTGACTATGGATATTGTAAATTTATATTGTTTAAATATTGTTGAAACCATAAATTGTACAGGGTTTCGTGATAAGATCTATATGATCTTTTAGAAGTCTTTCCATTAATCTTTTCTCTACATTATATTTTATTGAAAAGAATTATTATAGTAAAAAAAAAATTAAAAAAAAAAAAAAAGAAACTTCTACCTTTTTTTTTTTGTGTATAAATATAAATAAATATATAAAATTTATATATTTAATATATATATATATATATATATATATATATACATATATATATATATATATATATATATATATATATATATATATATATATATATATATATATATATATATATATATATATATATATATATATATGTACATATATATATATATATATATATATATATATAATATATATATATATATATATATATATATATATATATATTGTATTATTTTATATAATAAATAAATATATAAATATATATATATATATATATATATATATATATATATATTGTATTATTTTATATAATAAATAAATATATAAATATATATATATATAGTATTATTTTATATAATAAATATATATATATATATCCGTTGCAAACTACTTGGTTTGCTTTTTGCTTTTCGCTTGATCCTTTTTCTTGATAGAATTTTAACACAAATGAAAGAATGATGTCAGAATTGTATGTCATTTTTCCAGTCCGACCAATTGACAATCACTTCTGTTCCATTCACAAATTTTGCTTGCAATTCCTCATAACTGTTTACCATTTGAAGTACAAAAACATACTCAATGTTCGGATGCTTTGAGACATGGTGCTTCCTAAAATCTCATCATCCATGATTAGAATCCTATCAAGCACATTATGCTGGCAAAAAATTAACAATGTTTATTTCTCAAAATGTAGAAACCATTGTTCAGTATTTAGGTCTTTCATCATCTCTTTATTCAGTTTAGAAATATCCGTAAATGCTGGCTTATAAATTCCGGTTTGACTGGGTTTTGGAATGTTAACACCATTAAGTGCTAATTACTTAAAAACTTTGGCAGCTGTTGATACTATTGTTGATGTCACTAAGTTTACGGCAACTTTGCTCTTGTTTTGTTTCTTTTTTAATAGGCAAGTATATTCATCATCGTCATCATTATCGTTTTCATATTAACTTTCTATAACTTCAGACTTATCCGAATCCTTATCATTATCATTAGATGATAACGATAAGGAATCATTATCATTAGATGATAATGATGAAGAATCATAATCATTAGATGATAATGATAAGGAATTGTTATCATTAGATGATAATGATAAGGAATCATTATCATTAGATGATAATGATAAGGAATCATTATCATTAGATGATAATGATAAGAAATCATTATCATTAGATGATAATGATAAGGAATCATTATCATTAGATGATAATGATAAGGAATCATTATCATAAGATGATAATGATAAGGAATCATTATCATTAGATGATAATGATAAGGAATCATTATCATTAGATGATAATGATAAGGAATCATTATCATTTGATGATAATGATAATGATAAGGAATCATTATCATTAGATGATAATGATAAGGAATCGTTATCATTTGATGATAATGATAATGATAAGGAATCATTATCATTAGATAATAATGATAAGGAATCATTATCATTAGACGATAATGATAAGGAATCATTATCATTAGATGATAATGATAAGGAATCATTATCATTAGATGATAAGGAATCATTATCATTAGATGATAATGATAAGGAATCATTATCATTAGATGATAATGATAAGGAATCATTATCATTAGATGATAATGATAAGGAATCATTATCATTAGATGATAATGATAAGGAATCATTATCATTAGATGATAATGATAAGGAATTATTATCATTAGATGATAATGATAAGGAATCATTACCATTAGATGATAATGATAAGTAATCGTTATCATTAGATGATAATGATAATGATAAGGAATCATTACCATTAGATGATAATGATAATGATATAGAATCATTATCATTAGATGATAATGATAATGATAAGGAATCATTATCATTAGATGAGAGATTACTTGATTAGATGAGAGATTGCATGAGGCTTATATATATAGTTGTGTTTTAAATCACATTTGTGTTTTTTAAATTGATAATTATGTTATAACATTTCAAAAATACATTTGTACTTTTGGTCTTTGCATCAGTAACGGGTTTAAAAGCCAGTTGTATGTTATAAGGCTGAGGCACAAGTTGTTAAGTTGTATAGTTAACAACTTGTGCTTTGGCTTTATAGACTAAAGAAAATAACATTTTTAATATAAACTCATTTTCGTAATTTGTGCCCTTCATATTATAAACTTTTCAGATATACATTTGTTTTGATTATCTTTTTTATTATCTTTTTAAATTTTACAAAATTAAGATGATCAGTTCATACGTCACGTAATATGTTATAACAAGACTATAACTGAATAAAATGTGGCACTTTTTTGTGCGTGTATATGCGTGTACAGAGGTACACACAAAATAAAATCAATATGATGACTAAAATGCATACACTTACAATAAGTCCGGCCCATTATGGTGTCAAGGATAAGCTTAAATTTGCTTTTCCGGCCATAACAAATGATGCAATTGATACAATTACTCCGATTGCTGATTCAATGCCACCAAGTACATTTTTTTTTTTTACTTAATAAGAACAACAATTATGAACCAACTTGTTATAAGTGAAACTTCGTATTATTTCATTACTTATTACTTTTATCGTTTAGAAACATTTGTTTGTTTATTCAGCACAAATTTGCTATAAATTTATTTATATACTGAATTTGATAAAAGCGATGAAGTATAGATGAGCATGCTTAAATATTGTAATAATAAATGTAATAAATAACCTTATTTGGCATTGTAAATACACACCAGTTGTTTGCATATAACAGCTTTTTTAAGATCATATTTTTATTATCTAACTATTTTGACTTTTATTTGTTATTTATTTTTATTTTTAGTTTAGTTGTTTATTAGCACAATATTGTATTAGGGATTGTCCATAAATTACGCAAAGCAAAAAATATTTTAAAAAGTAGGAGATATTAGGCTCTTTTACGCGGCGATTTTCATTTACTTAATTTCCTATTTTGTTTATTTATTTAAATTAAGACTCGGGGAAGGAAAACTTTTAATCTTTTCTCGTTTTATTTATTGTGAAATTTTGCGTAATTTATGGACGATCCCTTATCAAGTTGTTTTATTAATTCATTTCGCTAATTTTTTTATTTGCAAATTAAAAATAAGATTGCAATGTAAATTTTTTATTTTGCCAGAAATAAATTTTACGCATACTTTACCCATTCAAGAATTTGTAAAACAGTTTAATCTTTTTTGGTTGTACTAACATGCTATTTTATATTAAAAGTAGTCGAGTAAAAAAAAACATTTTAGCTATAAAAAATAGTTTATTCTAAAATACTTTTACTTAAATTTATATGAAAAAGTTACTAGAAAAAATGCCTAATAAATTCTTGACTGGATTTTAGACAAATTTTTATTTGGACAAAATTTTTCGCAGAAAAATTCATTTTCTTTTTAATTCAGCAATTGTAAAATACCCGATGCACTCCCAGTGGGCACCAGATGTCACTCTGACGTCTCGTTTACGCTTGATTTTTATCAAAGACGTATTACAACATTGTTACGACGTCGATATAATGAAGTTTAAACAATTTTACATTATTGACGTTTCTCAACGTCATCTCATGTCTAGCGACGTTGGAGCGACGTTAATTGCATGACGCTGGAATATTGCATGACGTTGGAACAACGTTAATTTAACGACGTCAGAACTATGTTGGTTCAGCAATTTTTATCCAGTAAGAAAAATTACGTTGAAAGAAAGTTGTTCCAGCGTCTTCCGTATCAATGGAAAGACGTGGTTAAGATGTTGAAAATGAAAAAGCGAAAAAACGTTATTTTTCTAACGTTATTGTAACGATGTAAAAATGACTTTGTAATAATGTGTAATGACGTTAAAAAGGCGTTACACCAACGTTAAATTTTAAGAAAAATGACGTTATGAAGACGTTAGGCAAACCTTTCATTTTGAGCGAAATGATAATGTCTTTTCAATTGTTGTTTAAGAATTGGAATAATGGCTTTTTTTTCCAATCTACTTATTGCATTTAAATCCTTAACAATTTGAATAAGTAACATCATCTTACCAAAAACCAACAATTTCATACTCAACAATTTTTAAATGAAAAGGCAGACATATCAAGAAGTAGTGATTCAAAATTTTATAACAAATGAATCAGATTATGTACACTGTATGTAGTGAATGTTGTACCATAATAATACATAGCCTTGACTACAAACCAATTCAACAGCATCAATGCATAATTAATTTACTGACGCAGTTAATTAGGTTTCTATTTTTATTATAAAGGGACTAGAATGCAAAAGAAATAAACTATGTAGCTTTTCATCTTTTAAACTCTAAAAGTGATCTAGGCTGTCTGACGAAATCAGGTGGCCTTTTTCAGGATAAGTAATTTGATTTTTCAAAAATATGATTAAATCAAAGATATGACAAATGATCTTTGGCCCCACTTCGGCCCCACTTCGGCCCCACTTTCAAAATACCAATAAATGATTGACAACTCCAAGACAAACTAAGTTTATATAATCAAAAAAAAAAGCAAATCTATAAATTCAAAGTAAATCAATGAACTTTTAGATATTTCGTGATAGTTATAATTCATCTCAGCAAACTGTGTGTTACAATCACTCAAAACTGTGTGTTACATTCACAATACATTCACTTTATTCACTATATTCGCTTTAAAAAAGCATTAACGAATTCAATGTAAATGTATCTTGTATACTTATTTTATTTACTATGAACTCATGAACTGTTATCGCAAAGTACACTTGAAGCTCATTCAATTAAACGTTGAATGAGCGTTTTTTGAATTGAATTTGTTGGGAATGTCATTGAAGACATTTTTTAGAGTGACACTTTGAAAGAAACATTGTACTTAAGAAGTAATTAAAATATAAAAAGAACCGTTTGTTGCAGTTATGAATAGAGAGTGGTGATTATAAAATGGGTAATTTTAAGAAGTTTTACATAAATTTACTTTTACTTTATTTTAAATTGGTAACAGGGTAATGTTAATTACTAAAGAAGTATGTGATTTTTATAAAATTGATGAAGAAATTCTAAAATAAATTATCTTGTGTGTGTGCGTGTGTGCGTGTGTGTGTGTGTGTGTGTGTGTCTGTGTGTGTGTATATATATATATATATATATATATATATATATATATATATATATATATATATATATATATATATATATATATATATATATATATATATATATATATATATATATAATAACTTATATCTATGATACTTATAACTAATTTTGTAGAGTTACAGTCGATATGAAGCTCCCATGTAACTTTTATCGATGAGAGATTTAGGCAAATTATTCAGTGAAAAGCACTTCTTTGTTATGAAGTGGAACAAAATCTTTTTGTTATAATGTGGAACATTATTTTTTTTCTTTTTTGTTATGAAGTGGAACAAGATCTTTTTTGTTTTGTTGGTATTTAAGGTCAATTTATCGCACACGCACAGCCAGTTAGAGATGTGTTAAAGTTCTTTATTCACATATGAAGAAAGGTCATAGGTTTTATGGTTTGAGAGAAAAAAATTCTTCAGCAAACACTATACTCATAAGATTGAAAGCTTTATTTGAATCATTAATATTTTTTTTATTTTTTTGTTTATTTGAATTTTTATGCTATGTTTTTTTATTCAATGTTATATCCAAAGATATTGTTGGCTTAGCATAGGAACAGCCACAAATAGTCATTAAGACTAATCCAAAGTAGCGTATGTTATTGAACAACATTTTTGAGTACAGAAGTACTACTCAAGCGCTGGGTTGGCGGTGGCAGGATTTGAACCCGTATCGTACAACAATACGGGTTTTAAATTTTCAATTGGCGCTCTAACCAACTGAGCAATCCAGCCTAAATGAAAACCTAAAAAAAGAGAACTCGAACTTGGAGTAACATTGTCATCGTTACGCACTGTCATTGACCTACACTCTCTTACCATTGCACAGTGGGACGTAAGGTGCCCAGAATCGATTTTTTTTTATTTTTTTTATTTTACATGGTGTATTTAAAAGCTAACACACTCAGTATATACGTTTTTAAACTTTCATATCTCATTAAAATTTAAATTTTTAATGGATATTTAAGTACAAAGATTTTTGATAAAAAGTGTAACTCAAGAGAAAACTTATTGACGATGTTCCGACCTATTGAAATACTTTTAGTATTTTCCCATACATATATAAATTTATGGATAGATTGATTAGACTTGTTTTAAATTTTTTTTAAAACTTTTATGTAACTTTGTTTTTTAAAAAAAATATTCACGTAGTTGTTAAAGTAGGGCTAATATTTCAAAAATGTTTAATCAAGTAATCAAGTTTTTTAACTTTAGTAGAACTGGAAAACTGATATACTTGTTTTCAGGATGGTCTCAGTATTTATTGATGCTAAATGTGCTCTAAAAAAATTTAGTTAAAGATATAGTCGCATCATTTTTTTGAAATAACTGTTTTTTAGTGATGAAAGGGGTTTGTAAAATGTCTTTCCTGCATCTGTAATCAGTGGCGAATGCAGAACTTTTTATATAATGTCAAAACCTCAAATTTAAATATGTCAATGCTTATGTCGAAAAAGAATATTTTGCAAAAAAAATAAGTGAATTGAAGCCTGTGAACAAAAATAATTCTATAGGTTTACCGCTGCTAACCCAAATGCAAGGACAATGAGTTGATAATGTATTCAAATTATGTTATACATAATTCCAATATATCCACAGGTTTTAAATTTCATTTAATTGTCTTTAAGCGTTGGAACATTATGATCATGCAAAATTTACATCCCTCTCATTTTGATGTTGGTGAAAACTTTACACGTTTAAAAACTTCCAAACACTATATGATAATTGAATGAAATTAAGAACATGATGACTAATTTGAATTTGGAATTAGATAGTAAATTAAAATACTTTCGTAGGTCAATGTAACTACAAAAAACAAATTGTCTTTGCATTTGGGTTAGGGGGTGAAACTCTTGGGGTATTTTAGTTCATCCATTTAAAGGTTTGTTATCTTTAAGTACAAGATCTAAAAATAAAAATTATTCACCAAAAAAAGTTATTGGCCTTTAATACTAGAAAAACCAGACGTAAACAAAAGAAATCACGAAAATGATGATGGCACATCAGATAATGTCATCGAATTGATCAATTTAATAAAAACTTTAATATATTTGTAAAAAAAATGATAAAATTGCGAATAATTTTATTTGAGAAATACAAATAACTTTGAAAATATTCAAAGAAAAAATTGTAATAAAAACTTTTTTTTACGATTATTTTCTTAAAAATTATATTTTTGATCTTTTAAAAAAAAACTTAAAAAGGGAAAAGAGGAGAGGTGCAAATTAATCCTTTCCCTTAAATTATTTTAAAAACCTGTTTATTTTATTTTAGCTATGAGCATTTTTAATATTAGATTATTTTAAATTAAGTTTCAATAGAGTATCCGTAATGCCAAGCAATATTTTGGAGTTTTGGAGAACCAAGTTCTCTTCCCCCTTGAAAAAAATCATATGAGCGTCTATTCACCATAGTTTATCCGTCAAGATTCTTTGAAACTACAAATTAAAATGTTGCAAAAACTTAAACAAACAAATTTTACTATGATTTCTTTTAAATTTACTTTGTACAGATATTTAGAAAACAATTTTGACTACT